CAAACACCTCGTTGCAGCGACCACGCAGAATTCATGCATAATTAATAGTCGTGCAGCCAAAATCCAAGCCAAATACAAATCGTAAACGAAATCAAACTCTGCCATCAAAGTGTGCGCCCAAAAAAAAAAAACAACAAAAAAGTGAAAAGAAAACACAGACATCCATCAATTGTCAGCTGCGACAGCGGCAACAACAACAACAACAACAACAAATTGCGAGCAACATGCAACAAGCACAGGACAGGCATAAATTGAAATCTTCAACAGCAGAGGCGGCGGTCTATACCCTGTAACCTGTGATGTTAAGTGGGCATGCAGGAAACAGAGTCCATAAGGTATAAACATAAGTCTGCTCCTCATTAACAGCAGCAGCTGAATTGATATAGTCCTGCTATCTGATGCGATCTGGAGAAACTATATGAACTTATAGCCAGAATGGAAGATTACATAGGTAACCTTCTTTTAAAACTATAAGACATAAAAGTCTCCTTAAATTCTAGTCGAAGTTGACGATAATTCGAAATAATCAACTATCAATCAATATCTTCAGCAATTTAACCGAAATCGATAAATATCGATGTAGAATATTATTTAAACCAGAGACATATATTTTGGCAATCCAATTCACATATAGTATCAAGAAATCGATAAATAGCAACATCTATAATTACATATTTTCAGTCTATGTTCTCTGATGGAAGATTCTTGAAGCAAGAGAGGCCAACTTTAGCATAGAGTCATGAAATCGATAAATACCGATTTTAAGCTTATGTTTTCTAAGCTTTGCTCGAAGATTATTGAAGCTAGAGATACCAAATTGGGCGGTTCACAAAATTGCTGTTCACATATAATACCCAACGATCATGAAATCGATAAATATTGACATCGATAGTTATCGATTTTCGGACATTGTTCTCTGTGCAAAGTTTATCAAGGCCAAATTTCGCATTGAGTCTTATGTGTGGCATACACAAATCAAGAAATCGATAATTATCGATTTTCAGACTATGTTTTCTGAGGATCTCTCGAATATTATTGAAGCTAGCCACAACAAATATGGTAAAAACATAACACAGAGATAAAGAAGTCTTATTTTTTCCTACTCTCCCAAAGCAAAATCCCAGCCAAGCTCTTGAATTTTGGCATATAAACTTATTTAAATGTCAACTTCAATCTCTGGCAATTTCACAGCAATCGGATGTGATTTTTAAGCATTACAAAGCAGACTAGTAGGGTATCTGATGGTCGAGCACTTGCGATTAGAGCACGCTTGTATCGTTTCATATCTGCAAATCGGCGCATATATGACGCTGATTAACACCGCATTACAGGCCTCCGGCGGCAAACTGCAATTGAAACGTTGCACTGTCCATTAGAGTCTCCGCGTGTGAATAGTCGGCAATAGTTGGCAGCCAGGAATCTGAGCAGTCATTTCCATAACCGCTGTGGCAGCAACTAGTTGCAAGTTGCAGCTCTGCAGTTTTGCAGTTGCAACTGGCTGCAAATGCACGTGCAGCGCTTGAATAAATAGAAATAGAGGCAAGGCAGCATCAAATTTGTTATCGTTGTTTCGCTGCTTCATTCGCCTACGTAAACATGAGAACAGCACAGTGGTTCATACATTAGGTTTAAATGGTCGAAAAATCTCGAAATCTCAATCTCGAAAACTACTAGAGCTGGAGGCTTGAAATTTTTAATATATATTCTTGTATATCATAAGAAGAGCGTGTTATAATTTTTTGTTAATATTTTTTCGATAATTCCCAACATTTTCATAATATAGTTAAACATTCATTTCGAGGCAGCATTACATATTATTGAAGTCTATGTAACAGGCAGATGTAAGCCTCTCCGAATCTATAAAACTATATACAAAAATATATCTTGAAAATATCCTAGCTTAGTAAGTATAAGAGCTGAATATACCAAACTGGCTACGCAGATTCTCTCAGATTATACTCAGAATAAATATAATTCACATTTTGAATACTTCTTCCCTTTCGTCCACAATTGAGGAATTAGACTTATCTTAAAAGGCAGCATCTTGCGCTTTGGTATGTAAATAATTTTATATGACATATTTAGGCACTGAAAATTTCATAAAGATCGAACAACAAGTGCCGAAGTTAACAAGGAATGTCTTATGTCATATATAGAGGGTGGAGCTATAAGAGCTGGATATATATATATATATTTTACTTTTTGGATACTTTCTTTCATTCCACAAAACTGGGAAAATACGCTGCGCTTTGTTATACACACACTTTTATTTATCATATGCACTGAACATTTCATAAAGATCGGACAACAAGCGCCGAAGTTAATTCAAGAATGCATTATCTCATAGAGAGGAAGAAGCTTCAGCTAAACATGGACCAAAGAATGCCTGTAAAGGCAGCTGCTATTCCAGGTATCTGCTATGCAGGCAAAGACTTGTTTTCAGCTTAATGATATTCTGAGAAGCGCGCAAAAGATGGTCACACGGTAGTCGCAGCTGCTGTTGTACCACTGTGCAGCGCCCGCAATTTATGACTGATGATGCGAGTGGTTTTTGCGGTTTGCGGTTTACCTGCTGGCGCTTTTTGGCAGTTGCTGCTGTTGTTGTTGTTGCTGGCACATAAATCAAAATATGTCATAACTTGCAACAAAATAGCAGCGACAACAACAACAACAACGACAACAAGAAGCAGAGCAACACCTTCAATCGCAGAGGCGTTGGCTGCCTCCGCAGATTGCACATACGCAACGTGTCCAATTGCCAATTGGCATTTGCCATTTGGCATTTGCTGCTTGCAGCTGCAACGCGCTGTGGCATGCAACTGCCCTTAAGTAGACGCACATTAATTCCAATTAGAAAACCATCAACACTGGCAATTGAAAACTCGTTAAAGTTCATTACCTTAAAATGATCAGGCACAGACGGCAACAATAACAGCAACAACAACAACAAGCAAGAGTATCTTAGGCTGCAGTATACGACTGGGAGATACCCTAGCTGACTTAACAAACATTGCAGCTTATCTCTATAGTTGAAAAGGAGCTTAGCTGGCCGGAGGGGCAAATAAAACACCTCCATCGTGTCGGAGATGATATGCTTGGCAAATACATTCCTGATTAACTTCGGTGCTTAGAGTCCGATCATATTGAAATTTTCAGTGCTTAAAAATGGCATAGAAAAGTATGTATATACCAAAGATAAGGGATAGGTTAGGAATATTTCTTCAGTTTTGAGTAACGTTGGAAAGTATAAAAAAAAGATCTATTCGGAGTAAACTCAGAGACAAACCAGCTTGGCGTATGTAGCTCTTCTAATCTTCTAGTCATGCTTATCTGGATTATATCCCAGATATTTTCTCATATATAACTTTATAGATTCGGACTTGCTTCCATATGCCCGTTACAAGCACTTGCACAATATGCATATTCCCTACAAAGTGAATCAAGCCTCATATAGGAACACTTGAGCTGGTCGTCTTTCAATGCCAGTCGCAATCTTGGCCAGTTCGTGTGGCTTTTGCTTTGGCATTTGCTGCATTGTCGTTTGTTACATTTAAGGAGCTGCTGCTGCCGCTGCTGCTGCTGCAAGAAGTGCGCATTGATTTGTTGCAATTGACATAACAATTGAAAACGGGCAAAACAAGTCGACGACGCGCCACTTGGCCTTGAGGCTAATAAGTTGTCCCGTCCGCAGCTGACATTTGAAGCGATCTTAGAGGGCAGCAGCAGCAGCTGCCGTTGTCGTTGTTGCTGCTCTTCGCGCTGCTGCGTCTTTGTGACATTGAAACAATTCACATTTCAATAATTTATGAGCTCTCAGATAAGCTCTGCTTAGCGCAGGTAAAGGTAGAGGTGAAAATTTATCGCTGGCATAGCCTTGAACATTGCTTGGGCCGGTCCCGCGGCCGTTAACTAAATGCAATTGCACACGCCCAACTGGAAAAACGGCTAGAGACTGCACGACTGGTAGATACCCTACATAATCTGTAACTGCCTTCACATGCTTACATTCTAATTTTGACGGTACGTAAGTCTGTTAAATATTTCGAGCATCTGGCAAACTGATCAGCCTGATCAGAATCAATAACATTCTGTAAAGTTGCTTAACATATGATATGAACAGTGTTGCCGTGCTGCAAGCGTAGGAGTAGCAAATGCAAATCCCAATACATTTATTTTTAGTAGTAGAATCAATAACATTCTCTTAATAGAAATGGTTGCAGAAGATATAAACAGTGTTGCTGTGCAGGAAGCGAATGAATAGCAAAGGCAACTCTTATACATTTAGCTAAGCTTTATTTCATTAACAGAATCAATAACATTCTGTTATATGTAAACGACAGAGCAGATACAAACAGTGTTGCTGTGCAGCAAGCGAAAAGTAGCTAAGCTTTATTTTCAGTAAGAGATTCTGTTAAGTGAAAACGATGGAGCAGCTAACATATATAGACAGTGTTGCTGTGCAGCAAGCGTAAAAGTAGTTAAGCATAAATAATTATTAATTTATTTTCAGAAAATAAAGACGTATTATTTCAAAAATCAACCTTTTGTTTTTTCTTTTTGAACGGTCAACCTTTTGTCTTGACCTTACTTTTTCGAAAAAATAAACTTTTGAGAGTGCCCGACTAGGAGATACCCTGTTGACAGCTGCAGTTTGCCAGCTCTGATAATTTGCTAGATTTCGGAGAGTTATCGTACGAATAAATCAACTTGAATTGCGTATACCATACTCTAATCTCTGAGATCAACAAAGAGATGGAGCTGATCAAATCGAATCGAATACAATATACCCTGTATCAGTCCTTTACAATGCCGTACAGGGTATTTTAAGAAATCACAGAGTATATAAATTATAATCCCTGAGATCGACAAAGAGATGAAGCTGATTAAAACGAATCAAATGCGATATACCCTATTTCACCCTATTTCAGTGCTATACAGGGTATGATAACAAATCAGAGAGTATATAAATTATCAGCCGCTGCACTAGCTGCCAAACTTACCGCTCCATCTCCTTGGCATCTGTGGGATAATTGCGACCGATTGTGTTGGTCTCGTAGGGCTCCTCGGTGGTGGTGCTGCTGCTGCTGGTGGTTCCGCTGGTGGTTCCGCTGGTGGTGGTGGTGCTGGGCGCCGTCGTCGTATAGCTGTAGGCGCGCCGGGCCGGCACCAGCGGCGGCACGGTGCCCATGCTGAGGCCGGGCGTGATGGCGCGACGATTGAGATTCGGCGGCGGCGCCGCGGTGCTGATGGGCGGCACATACTCGTAGCCGCGACCGCGACCGCTGACGCCGATGAACTCCACATCGCCGGTGTTGTCCTCACCCTTGCCGGCATGCGGCGGCAGCGGCGGCGGCGGCGGTCCAAAGGTGTTCGTATAGATATTGTAGGTATTGTAATCCCACTCGCTCGGTCGGGCCGGGCCCGACTGATGCTGATGGAGGCGACGCGTCAACACCTTGTTGTACGGGGGCAGGCGGCGCAGCCGGGTGCTGTCCGTGCCGCGCACCGGACGCATTGTCACGCCCGGCAGCAGCTCCACCTCCGACTTGACACTGTGCGAATGACGCTGCCGGTGCAGCCGATGGCTGTGCAAGCGGCTGTTGTTGTGGTTGTTGTTGTGGCTACCTGTTGTCGCCGCAGCCAGCAGCAGCAGCAGCAGCAACACTGTGCAACAAAGCTGCGTCATCTTGAACTGCGTTGACTGCAAAGAGACAGAGAGACAGAGAGAGGTTACTTTATTGAGTGCTCAAAAAATAAAACAGTGCATTGTTCGGCCATTCACTTTCGCGACCGCAAACTCATTCGAAATTCCTAGTCACTTTGCACGCCTCGCTTAATTTAAGCAACAAGACGGATCAGAAGTCGCTGTCGCTGTCGCCGTCGCTGTCGCCGTTGCTGTCTCGGCTTCTGTCTCTGTAACGAGTATCCTCATGCTCATTAACAATTCCTTTGTGTGCCAGCCGTGCCGACCTGTCCATCATAAGCTCAACCCGCGCTGCGCTCAGTTTGTAAGCCCTGAAGGAGCTGCTCAAAAAGCCAGAGTCAACTTTAACGTGTAAACTATTTAAGGCGGCTGGCAAACAGTGTTGCCAAGTGTCGCCTCAAAAAAAGTAGCAGAAACCAATGTTAAAAGTTGCTAAAAATAGCTGAGTGCAAATTAATAACAGACAAGTTCTAAAATGGCAAAAAAGTCTCAATCAATATAAAAAGTCAATTGCTTCCGGCTGATGAGCTCAGCAATTGGCCAAATTAAGCTAGAAAATAGCTAAAATTGGCTACTGCTTGGCTGCGACAGCCGTAACAGCATCAATAACATACTGTTAAAGTCGATAAATATGTACAGACAGTGTTGCTGTGCGGCAAGCGTAAAAGTAGTGAATCGAGAAGTCTTATATATTTATAATGTGTATTAGTTTTCAGTCTTCAATTATTTGATATTGATTTAAGTATTGTATTTGTGAATTAACTTTATATTGATTTAAATACTGAATTTGTCTTTCTTGTATTTTTTGTTTGTCTATCAAAGAAGAGCTTGAGTTAAATATAGTTATATATTCATAAAGATATATATATTATGTATTACGGGTAATTCATTTCTTTAACGCTTCTTTAAAGCTAATATATGCCCTTAACAGCACGAAAAAATTTAATTTAATAAATAGACTATTTCCCCAAGAGAGGTTTTACTGTAAAGGGAGCTACGTAAAGGTCCCTAAAAAATGCTAAAATAAATCAAGAGCTCTGTGCCTGCTCTTGACTTGATCTAGGCAACTAATGCCTATCAATTATAAAATAATTTTTCATTGAACTTTTTGTACTCTTCTTAGTTATAATAACTAAAAGATGTGGAAAATAATTACCTAATTTAATTCAACCTGGAAGCTTAAAATTGCTTCGTAAATAAATAAAGTGTTTAAATTTGTTACAGAGCAATATCCCAAAATGAATAAAAAAAAACAAACCAAGTAACTTGGGTAACTTGGACTTTATAGCTGATCATATCAGTTGTAATTCACTCAAACTCTATACTCTATAAGCCCGAAACAAAGGGCATTCGAGAGTTCGTAGCTGTCGACGCGAGTGTTCGTCTTTTTCATGGTCGAGTGGAAACACTTGAATCATCCGGACAAAGGCAATTTGTACAGCATGACGTTGCCTGTGATTTCGATTAATATTATTATTATTATATTATTATTATTATTAAGCTTGTTGTTGTCATTTGTTGTTGTAGAGCGCGTTAACAGTTAAGTGAACCGGCAGCTGGCATTAACAAAAAGCTGACCTGAAATTAATTTGAAGCCGGAAGTTTTGCGATTCTCGCTTTTTTTTGGCAGCGCTTTGTTCTCCGCCTGCCATTTCATCGGTATTTTACGGTATTTATCAAAATTTCACGCACTTGCCACATCATTTGTCAACACTCTGCTGATCCCCTCCCCCCCCCTCCTCTTAGCCCCCTCGCTGGACAATGACAATTCCAATTGGAATTGGAATTGCTCAGTGAGCTTATTAATATTCATTGCTTCGGGCAGACATCAAATTGAATTTATGACGCAGCTCATTAAACTTCAAGTTGGCCTAACACATGTCTTACACTTGTCTCCATCGATGTTGCCCCCATTACAGCCCAATTGAAGTGCTCTAGGCGGAGCATGCCTCACGCCCAGATACCCTGTTCCCCAGTTACGCAACTGTGCCTCTTCGTCTGGCTCTAATCTGCAGATTATGTCAAATATATTCTGCAATAACTTTTGTATTTAATGTCTGATCGTTTTGACATTTTCAGGGCTTTACAATGATATTCAAATGTGTGCATATACGAAAAATTATGGATATGTCTCTGACATATTTACAGTTTTAAGAGGATGGGGGATCGACTCGGGTTTTTGAGCCGAAATATTGGCATTTTCTTGAACTGGAACCTGTATCACAAATTGGATGGGTCTAGCTTGAATATATATCTGCTGCATGCCCAGAAACTTATGCTGCAATCGATAATTATCGATTCTGGAGAAATGGGCAGAGTTTTCTATGCAGCGTCTGTAGCTCCGTGCAATGATAATCATCCATTATAATATATTATAATATAATCCCATATCATTTTATCTCTGGATTTGGAATTGTTGTCGAAAATCGATAAATCTTGCTTTTGGAGTACTGGGGAGATGCTTTAAAGAAACTTAGTTTACTAAGGCAGAGTCTATTTATTGATGCTGATAGAGTATATATATACATATAGTAATCTCTGGTATATGCTTCGATGCATATGCCGAAAATCGATATATATCGCTTTGGAGAACTGAAGAGAGATTAAGCTTCTAATTGGTCAAATCGACTGTTGGTGCTAATTAAGAATATATATAAACATTAGAGTGTCCAGTATATGCTTTGCAACTTATGCTGTAGATCGATATTTATCGACTTTAGAGATATGGGCAGAGTTCATCATAAAGTATTTCTAGCTCTGTATAATTTGTATTATGATAATTATCTATAATAATATATAGTTTAAATGATATTTAACAAAAATCGATATTTATCGTTTGAGGAGAAATAGGCCGAGGTTTTAGGCAAGTTTGATCGACTGAGACAGACTCGATCGACTTCACTCTGGATGATGATAAAGAATATGAATATTTAATTAATCTTCTGCTCGCCTGTCACACACACTTGTACAACTGCAATATGCCCCTTTTCAGCCCCACTTAATAGGGTATTTTATAAAAAAAAACACGAACCAAAATTGAAAATGCTCAATGACAGCAGCCACAACACGATTACCAATTGCTGTGGCTAATTAAAAAATGGAATGAAAAGAAATAAAAATTAAACCGAAAATAATTTTGACTTTCCACAGCAAATTGGGACAAAAAGAGAGCGGCAAATGGATGTGGCCAAAATGGATGGGGATGTGGCAATTGGAACTGGAACTGGACTCCTTCGGCTCATCAGGTGCGGCCTTAAGCCGCTTAGTAAGTGAAACCCGCTAAGGTCTGTCCGCCTGTCAGTCAGACTGTCGGCTGCCCAAAAACCAAAACCAAAACCCAAACACTTCGCTGACCCAGACCCAGACCCAGACCCAGCCCAGACCCAGACCCTGCCGAGTTGTCATAGCTCTGAGCATATTCCGCGAAATGCAAAAAGGTTTTTTTTTTTTCGGGGCGCCTCTCTCAATCAAAACTGCAGACAACAAAAAAAAAATGCTTTTGATTCGATTTCCATTGAAATCTTAGTTCAAAGCTGCGTTGACAACTCGCCTTGACCTTGCCACCCCGCCCCCTGCCCCGCGCCTCACCTCTTGCCGCTTGCCAAAATCGTTCAGGGCATAGATAAATCAATTGCGGCTCGCAGGCAGGCCCACGGTGCACAGTGGGAACGGGGTCGCGACCGAAAAGAAACCAAAAAAAAAAAAGAACGCAAAATATTTTGATATATTTCTAATTAATAGCCCGGCATTGGGCATAAGGAACACGCCGGATAAATCAAGTTTACCTGCCGGCAACTGGTGGCAGCTTACCTGGAATTTGTCCATAATTATTTCAAGATGTGTGTGCGCGAGTGTGTGTGTTTGCGAGTGTGTGTGTGTGGGCTGAGTGAATTAGTGTGCGTATTAAATGTTATTGATTTGTTTTCCCAGCACATAAATCACATGTTAAATGTTGTGTTTCAAGGCGTGGACAGCCCCTCGCCCTCCCTGAAAAACAGCAGCAAAGCCAGCGACATTCTCAGCATGAAAATGTCAACTTTATTTTTGTCAAACTGAGACACACACACACATACACAAAGCTGTGGGTGTCCATGGTGTGCGTGTGTGTGTGTGTGTTGGCTGACCCAGACATGAGCCATGGCTAATGAATCACAAGAGATGCGAGAGGCAGACGAGATAAATATATATATAAATATATATATATATACATATATATGTGATGTGAGTAAATATATGACCACATTAGACAACAGTAAACACTTCCTATGAATGTCTAATACCAATAAAACTTAAATAAGAAATGTTTATGCAAGTTTAATTGCTTTTGCCTCAAAAATTCGAGTATTTATTTGAAGAAATTAACCTCAAGTCAAAAGAAAAATTGTCTAATAGAAATATAAAATATATATAAAAATATTAAATTCTAATTTCTTTTGACTCTAAAATTCGAATATTTACTTAAAGAAATTAACCTAAAGTTAAAAGAACATTTTTAATCATTGTTCTTAGCTTCAATTATTTTCCATTACTTAATTTTTTATTAAATTTTTTACCCCTTGAAAATTGCCACCTCTCGCTCCATATAAATTATAAATTCCCTAGTGTAGTATTTTAAATGCATATTAATTTATAAATTTGCTATAGATTGCCTTACGATTCTCCCTCTTTCAAGACAGTTGCCCAAAAGAGTTGTTCACGTGTCTCATTCAAGCAACTGAATAATGAGGTTCGAGTCTCTGGCTCGAATGGACCTAATATAAAACATATAATTCACTTTTAACTACTGAGAAAAATGCAGCTTATTCTCTGTGGTTTGGGCTGTGCATTGATCAATTAATCAGTCTTTCAAGAAAATCATTTATAAACGAGTAAGAGGTTTTAGTCGGGAGCTCCCGACCAGGGGATACCCTGAACCCTCTTCTTCAAACAAGCGATAGGTATAAAATGAAAGATATTTGATATATATATATACAATTCTAGAAGCTACATGTCAAGTT